GCCCGCCCCTGACTGACAGCCCGCGCCGCCAATGAGTGCGCGGCTCCGCCGCCCGGGCAGCCAGTGGACGGCGGTCTGGGCGGGGGCCGGTTTTCCACTGGGAGGTGGCAGTGGGTTGGTGGGGGGTAGTGGGCTGTTTTTCTCTTTCACACACGCTCTCTCCCTCTCCCTCTCTCTCTTTGGATGTTATTATTTTCTGGTGATTCTCGAGTGTTTCTGTGAGTCTCTCGCCCTCAGTGTTTTGATTGCTAGGAGGCAAACCAGCGTGGAGGCGGCGGCGACACTTTGTTTACTACGGAGGAGCAAAGCCGAGTACTCGCGAAGCCCGAGTGGAACGAGCCGCTCGCTCGCTCAGCCCAGACCTCCGCTCAGGGCCCAAATCGGGGCGGGGCGGGCGGGGCGGGGGCCCGGGACGCGCTCGGAGCCCCGAGGGCGCCGGGTGGGCGGACGGAGGCGGCCTCGCGGATTTCCACCCAGTCGCTCCCCCTCGCCTCCACCCACTATCTCTTTGCAGAGAAACGTGGGGGAGTCAGTGGGGCTTGTTTCTGTGTTTTGATTTCTGCCCCCCACGATCTGTCAAGTCCCCCGGCCCCGCGCGGGCTGCACGAGCCCCAGGCGACGCGCCCCGGGGGGCCAATCCGCTCTCCAGGCGCGCTCCCTTCCGCGCTGGGAACCCACCTGTCCGCACCCCCTAAGTTCGGGCTCTGCCCTTGAGTCTAGCCGGGCCACACCAGTAGGCGGCCTCACTCGGTTCTTGACCTAGGAGGGTCTCTGCCCCAGCTGAAGATAATATTGTTTCACCCGCACCCACACAAACTAAGGCACCCGAGACCGCAGATGCCCTCCGTGAGAACCTCCTTACACAGACAACATCCGAGCAGGAATGCCCGCCTCTGTCCACCGGGTCATTCCAGGGGAGGCGGCGAAGGGAGTCAGAAGAGAGCATTTGTCGAAAATCTGGTCACTTTATTACTTACACCTAAGGAAGTTTAACTCTTTCCTTGTTATTTCTTTGCTATTTCGAATAGAAGTGATGAGACAGCCCTGCCTCACCCCCAGGTTCCTTGGAGGGGCGGGGAGGGGGGGGCTGCGTCAGACAACCTACCCCTACCTACCCCACCTTTCCCCGTCTGGGCTGCAGGTCCTGGACATCCTGTGGAGATCAGTGGGAGCCAAAGGTAGGAAGAAACAATGGCTCTCGTGTCTCAGGGAGCAGAAGAAACAGTTTTCAAGTTTTGTTTTGCTTTGCTTTTGCTTTTTTAGGAGGAATATGAAAGGCATTTCCTTTCAGAGGGATGGGATCATTTAAGATGGAAGTTTGACAGTGGGTTTTGAATATCTTGTCTAGCATTAAGCTCCTAATTCTTTTTAAATATCTCCTTTCTTACAGACAAAATCTCCTTTCTTCTGTTGAAAAGTGGCATTGAAAGAACATCGGGCCCATTTATACAAATATTTTAAAAGCTTTATTTATTTATTTATTTATTTATTTTACGTTCACACTGCCATCACCCTAGCTCAGATCCCTAGGTCCTCATAATCCATTTAACTCAATTTCCTATTGTTCAGGGGGGCTGGAGGAGTGAGGGTTTTGAGCCGGATGGATAGATAGGGGTTAGTTCTCGGCCTCCACCTCCTCCTATTTATAGTGTCTTGGCAATTACTATCAAATTTGTGTCGTTGGAGCCTCCTCAGCCAGCCGCTAGGGGACCTCAGTCACCCAGGTGATGAGTTCCAAAGAAAATTCTTAGTGTAGGGCTGTTCTAACCCTCAGTCTTTCCAATAAGCGCTGCAGAAGCAGCGCCCATTTAGACGGCGGGTCGCACCCTACAAATAGGCGGTGCCCAGTGATCATTCTTGGCAAAGGTAGCCTGCTGCAAATTTAGCCTTGCCTTCTTTTCAATTCTGGTTTTCCAGGGCCTTAACCAGAGTAAAGTATTTGGTTTAAGGGAGTTTTCTTAGACTTCCCTAGATCTTTGAAATCTTCAGGGTGACCCTACCTAATTGTTTCCTTAAACATCATAGTTTGTCTTTCTTTGGTCTTTGTATAAAACTTTATCATAAAGCAGACAGACTACCTGCAGATTTAGTGTCTGCTGACACAAGTACACTGCTGTGGGAAGCAGTAGGGGAGACAGGAGAGGTGCCATGTGGGTCACCTCCCTGGCTGGGATGGAACTCTTGCTGAAACAGCAGAAATGGTTGCACCACCAGGGAGGGCCCTAAAAATAAATATTAAAAAGGTGTTTTCAACTGCCTGCCATATGGGTTTATCTGTCAATTTACTGAGCAGGAAGGTGCTGGTGAACTTTTGGTTTGTTCTAATCTTCAGTTATCACAAGCTATTAGATAATGAATAAACTTATATAAATCATTTTGTATCTGTCCAAGTATATCTATATGAGTCATTTTGGAAAGGAGATAGCTGAATCAGCAAATCAGTCATAATTTTGAGACACACTAACAAGTTGTTCTTAACGACTGTTTCAGCCTAAACTTTATTTTCAGATAGACCCCAGAGTGTTGAAGTGTAAAATAAACATGACCATTACCTTCATGGTCACCTGCAATTTACAGATAGGGAAATTGAGATGCAGAGAGAGGCTAGATGATTTTCCCAAGGCTCACGCAGTACAAGGAGTGATGCCAGGGCTAGAGCTGGAATTGCTCGCATTCCCAGTAACAATCTTCTCACTACACAGATAAAAATTATAATCCCAGGCCCTCCCTGAAGAGTGAGAGCACAGCTGTGCAAGCTAACGGCAGCAGATTTGTGTGAGCTCTATCCCTGCCTGAGGTGACCTACGTGGTGCTACAGACCTCTCCTGACCCGCCCGCTGCTCCACTCAGCAGTGTACTTTGATGATCTGCTCCCCACTCTGTCTCTAGTGAAGCCTCTCATTGCCCCTGCACCTCTGGCAAGTACCCCAGTTCTGTATGCATAAATAAGTAAATCTTTTTTTAAAAATTATAATCCTAACAAGACAATAACAACTATAAAACTTTGTGGTATGTTTCTTTCCAGTAAATCCCACAGGTTTCAGTAATATTAGCAAGATGAATTTCACTGAACTGAACGAAGATTTGATTTAAAATATTAAGAAGCATACACAAAAAGAAGACAGTAGCAATAAGATAATGAAAGATTAAAGAAGATCAAAGAGATGGGAGATGGGGGAGGACCTAAGTCAAAAATGTAAATATTTCCACTCTCTGAAGAATGCCAAAGTATTTAGGCCAGCACTACTTCTTCTAAGATGAAAATGTTCATTTCTTTTCTCCTATATTTGTATATTTGTGGGTTTTTGGTTTTGGTTTTTGTGGTAGTTGCTTAGTTTGAAGGCTTTTTCTAATTATTCTTACTTATTAGACAGCATATGTGGCCAAACTGGGAAGGAAAATATTTCCTCTCAGGTCTGAACAATTGAAATGAAAAGGAAATTCACCGCACAGATCTCATCTCACAAACCAGGTTCTTTGGCTTCTGGGTGATAATTGTGTCACACTTGACAAGACTGAGGGATGATTTCCTTTGATCAACATCTAGGCAGAAACTTCTGCATTTTACCCCTCACCACTAACACACCAATCTGGCTTAAATTCTTACTTGTCAAAATAGGTCATTCAAGTACAATTTCCTCAGTAAGTGAAAGCCTGGGTGCTTATTTTTCAGTCAGGACACTAGCTTCATGTTCCACTTTCCCTTTTCCCAACAACTACTCCCTTCCAATATTTTGTCTGAATCATCAAGAGGGACTGCTAGCAACCTAACACAGCCTTCTGTTTTCCAATAGAAAATAACAATCTTAAAGAACCCAGCTTCAGGTCTCTAAGCCAGTGTCCTGAAAGCTGTCATGTTTAGTGGCAGCAATAGCAACATCAAAAGTGGTCATTCTTCTGGGGGAATAGTTTCCTTTGGATTTTGTCATTCTTTCAACCAATATATAGAGAGTTGTTACTACATGTTTGCCAGGTGCTGGATATGTTGTTTTGATGGCAAATTCCTCAAGGTTAAAAATGGGTTATTTTCTTTTTTATATACAATATTTAATGTCAGAGTTAAGATTGTCATCCTAGTAGTCAGCAATACATCCTGACTATTTATTTGGAGAAATTACATTAAAAATACTTGCTAGTAAAAATGGAACTTCCATATGACCCAGCAATCCCACTCCTAGGTATCTACCCAAAAGACACAAAAACACTGACTGAAAAAGATACCTGCACCCCCATGTTTATTGCTGCTTTATTTACAATTGAAAAGACATAGAATCAACCCAAATGCCCAAAAGTAGATGACTGGATTAAAAAGATGTGGTACATATACACAATGGAATATTACTCAGAAATCAAAAAAAATAAACTCATGCCTTTTGCAGCAACATGGATGGAGCTGGAAGGGATCATGCTTAGTGAAATAAGCCAGAAAGAAAAGGAAAAACACCGGATGGTTTCACTCATAGCAG